GTGAAGTCGAGATGGGATGGCGTTTGGATGTGGAGAGGCACGTCTGTCTGTTCATCCCTGGCGGGTGACTGGCTCGCACGGGTTGTTGTTAGCCAAGGCTGATTCGGATGGAATAAGCTAAAGTACTTCGCATTCTTGGTGATTTTGGTCATCGATGGGGTCGTCGGTGTCGTCGTTGTCTAGGCAGCGAAGGATGCGCAGGGCTGAGCACAAAATCGCCTCGCTCAAGATAATCGTGGCATGTGCCTTTTTCTTCTTTTTCCCACTAAGCCAACCAACACATTGGCCACAGCCAGGCGACCGTATTTCGTGATGGGCGCCAAAGGCAGCTAAAGGTTGAAGGCAAATCTGCTCGGGTTGATCGGGCGCAGTGCTCGGTCTGCGGAAGAGACGAGCCGGGAGACACTGTCATTGATCAGTAAGACGGTCGATTGGTGATTGGCGGCGGCACCAAAGTCAAGCCGCCGTTGTATCGTCGTGATAAGGTATCGTCAATTTTGAGGCCCTTCCCCTCATGTCCGTGCCGAGTGGATGGCCTGCAGTGCGCACTGAAGCATCGCGGGCTGTGTCTTGGACTTGGATGCTCACCTTGCTCGCTCTCTCCACTGTCGGGCACTTGGGGGTGGGCTCTGTGGCTCTGGGGCCTGCACCGTGGTCTCACAGTTCACTTGGTGGAATGAGCCCCGCAAGGTTAACGAGGGAGGTCCCACCCCAGGCCAACAGCACTAACCTCTAGCTGGTATCCCTGCCAAACACACCACCTGCACGAGACCCCTGCTCCACTTTTGCCGGCTCCTTCTCTCTCCTTCACTTCCTCGCGCGCAGATGCAGCTGCCCATCAGCCTATCACCAGTGGCAATCGACGCTCAGTGTGACCAAAAAGACCAATGAGAACGATACTGACGCAGTACGTACCTCTATGACCTGTGGAAAAGGTAAGCTCTCCACACCCAAGAGGCAGCAGGCCCAAGACCCAAGAGACCAAAAGCTCCTGGGCGCAAACACAGCCCTCGTCCGCCCGATACCTTACCTTACCTTACCTTGAGGTGACACTCAAACCCCGGCACACGTTTCCCCATCTATGATCCTCCATTGTCACTCTCGCCCTAGTCGTGCCGTCTTCCATCCTCGAGACATCTGTTCTTCTGCCGTGACACATCTGCTACTTAAGACTCCCGTCCCCGTCTTCCCACATCCTTAAACCACTCCACATTCAATGGTTCAACGCTCCGATTCAATCCACGAAGCTTCCGACACATCTCATCACAACCAAGCTTCATCATCTGATAACAACTCCGCACGCCGTCTGCTACAAGCAACCACTTCGTCCACCCGATCGCAGTCCCCCGCCACAATGAGCGCTCCCACACACAACCCCGAGCAGCACGAGAGCTCCTCCACCGGCAAGGGCCGCGCTCCCGACTACCAGGAACGCCATGGAGACACCACCAACGGCGGCAACAATGGCAACGTTGGATTCAAGGCCCAGGGCGGCATGACCGTTCAACCTCCCACCAAGGAGGACCTCCAGCGCAGCTATGCCAGAATCGTCGAGAACGACGCCAACCCCAAGGGCTGGTACGGCACCATGAGTAAGCATCGCCCTTGTCGTTCCAATCTTTGCGCCTCATGCTAACAATCATCCAGTCAACGCTGTTGGTTCCTGCATTGGTACAGTGGGAGCTATCCCCTGCTGCGTCGTCTGCCCGAACCCCTACAAGAACGTCCAGCAGGGTAACGTTGGTCTCGTTACCAAGTTTGGCAAGTTCTACAAGGCCGTCGACCCTGGTCTTGTCAAGGTCAACCCTCTCAGCGAGAGGCTCATTCAGGTCGATGTCAAGATTCAGACTGCCGAAGTCCCTCAGCAAACCTGCATGACCAAGGACAACGTCACCCTCCACCTGACCTCAGTCATCTACTACCATATTGTCGCCCCGCACCGAGCAGCCTTCGGTATCTCCAACGTCCGCCAGGCTCTGATGGAGCGCACCCAGACCACCCTTCGCCACGTCGTCGGTGCCCGCATCCTGCAGGATGTCATCGAGCGCCGCGAGGAGATTGCCCAGTCCATCGGAGAGATCATTGAGGATGTCGCTGCCGGCTGGGGTGTGCAGGTCGAGAGCATGCTCATCAAGGACATCATCTTCAGCCAGGAGTTGCAGGAGTCGCTCTCCATGGCCGCCCAGAGCAAGCGTATTGGTGAGAGCAAGATCATTGCCGCCAAGGCCGAGGTAAGCTTCATTCGAGAACGCTTTCTGCAACCCCGAACGTCACTAACACATCCTGCAGGTTGAATCCGCCAAGCTTATGCGCCAGGCTGCCGACATTCTGTCGTCCGCACCTGCCATGCAAATCCGCTACCTCGAGGCCATGCAGGCGATGGCCAAGTCTGCCAACAGCAAGGTCATCTTCCTGCCTGCTGCGAACCAGACCATGCCCGACATCCAGCAGGCCCTCGCCAAGAACACCACCGGCGAGTCGAGCGGCCATGGCGGTGACGCCAGCTACAATGACTTTGGAGGTCAGGACTCCGGCTTCCAGCAAGCCATCAACTCTCGTGTCATCGAAAACATTTGAGTTTGCTCCAGGTGCTGACTTGAGGTCGTCGTATGTGGAACAGCTTGGTCCCATTGATTAAGCCGGCCCCTTTTCGGCTTCTGCGATGACACCTACGGTGTCGACGACATGCTTTCTTGTGCTTTGACATTTTCGACACGATTGTTTTTGCTTTCCCAATACCCCTGCTTTCACGACATATACAACCTACAAAATCACACAAAAATACACGATGTACTTTTACGAATCGGATGGCGGGGAGGACATTTGGCCTGTTCAGGAGACGATACCCAAGATCGGCATGACCAGGTTGGACAGGCTCGATATGATTTGTAGAATACCCAATTCGTTCGCTTTGCGTTGGAGGACGTAATGGTAATGGCTCAGTAGTAATGAAACCATTTCATAACCACTTTTCCCACATAAGCATCGTGTGTTGTGTGATGATGAAAGTCAACCAGCTTCATGCCTGCCTTGTAGGTGTGAGCAACAAGGTTACTCATCTTACGCATGACACATTCCAATCCATACTTCAGTTTCTTGACATGAGAAATTGCAGTGTAAGCGGATGGCTCCTCTGCCTCATTCTCGGCCTCATTGTACTGGCTGCACCACCCTGGGCCAACGTTTCCTTCGGTATCGTCAAAACGTCATCGACATTGAACTGATTCCTGTGTTACTATCTAGTTGATAGAAAACAGAAGTTAACCAATCGCATGCCTTCACGTAGTGCTTGTATCCTACTTTACATTCAGCCTTGCGTTTCATACCTGCCACTTTCCTTGCCGAAAAATGTGTAAATAGAGTAAATAGATAAACAGAGCTTGTCCAGGCTGCGGATCTGACACTCCTGAAGGGGCACTTGCTCTAATGGTCTCAGAATATGGTCGAGCCAAAAAGACAAACCGGCAATCCACCACTGCGGTCGATAGTTTCGACAACGAGTCTCGGCGCGAAGAAGAAGGGGAAGCCCAACCTTGCCCTGCTCATCCCATCTGTATGCTGTCTCTGCCGCCACAAAATGACGTCCCAACTCTTGCGCTGCCTCAAGCCTCCTTCCAGGGCAGTAGTATCTCAACAGGCTTCATATCCTTCTCAACCATCTCGGCGACCTCCTTGGCCTCCAACCCCTTCAACCCAGCCATGATCTCCTCGTACGTCCCCTCGCTCAGGCCCTCTTTACGATCGCAGTAGATGTCGACGCCCTCCTTCGTAAAGACGGTCGGCGCAAACCACGTAACAGCCCACCTCTCCGTCTCCCCGGCCGCCGTCTTCTTCTCCCCCCACCCGAGGACCTCCCAGTGGCTCCCCACAAAGAACAGCCACCCTTTGCCCCTCCAGTCCCAGGCGCCCGTGTCGCCGCCGGGCCGGGACGCCGTGTCGACGCCCTTGACGGACTTGACGCCCGTCGAGGGGGTGCTCTTGTTGGACTCGTACTCGACCAGGTCGTCGACGCGCGCGGTGCCGTCGGGCTTCGCGGGGAGGGCGGCGTAGGTGATGCGCACGTTGCGGGCGTCGCGCCACATGGCGAGGGTGGAGTGCGTCACGGTCCAGGTGCGCAGGAGCCAGTCTATCGGGGGCGCGGAGGCGGAGGCGGGAGGGGAGGATGCGTATTTCGAGGGGGAGATGAGGGCGACGTCGGTCGGAGGGGTGGCCATGATGGGCGGGCTGGCTCGCGGCGGATGAGGTCGGCTGGGGAGTCAATTGAGCTTTTTGATGTGTGAGTTAGAGGGGCGAGAGTCTCGCGCGCGGGTCTATAAGCATACAATCAATAGTAATGGTCGCAAAAAATGTTGTTCAGCGGAAGACGTGTGGTCAAACAAAGTCGCAAACCACCGCCCAAAGCTCCCGAGATCCGCGCCAGGGGTCTCGCACCCCCAACGCGTTTCAAAAAATGACATCAGTGCATGGCCCGGACCACATGAGCTTCAACCGCGTGCCCTGAGACATGCAATTGACCCCAAAATCATCTCTGAGGAGTTGGGGGGGGAAGACAGAGGAACGATTCGCGGAGAGGTTGCATGTCTCTTCTCATAGGCCGTCGCAACAGCCGCAAATACCCGACCGCACTCCCAAATTCGCCATATGCACGACAGTCGACCTGTTGTGGTTCGTCCCAGGTAAAACCTCGTCATCTCTTCGGACCCCTGATTCGGACTACCTTACCTTAATATAGAGAGCTCCCCACGAGGCTGGGATTAAGCGCCCCAGTGCCGAGCAAGGGTCTCCAGCTTATTTCGACCTTTTCCCGCTGCAATTTGCCACGGATCTAACCGCGCCCCAAGCTCCCATTCTTTTTTTTCAACTCGCTCGTTGCCAACTAATTAATTGCTCGTCGAAAGGAAACCTGTGTGCGACCTTGCTCCCTACAACCAACACCCGGAGAACACCCGCTTCTCATCTTTTTCACATCCCCCCCATCCGTCCCACCTCTCACCGCCACGATGGACGCCTCCGACATCGACCCCGAAATGGCCGCCTTCATGGGCTTCGCCTCCTTCGGGACCCAACCCGCCGCGAAGAAGCGCAAATACAACCACCGTACCGACGCCGTCGCCGCCTCCGACTCTGCAACCGGCGCGAACCAAGTCGCCCTCGCAACCCGCACACCTTCGTCTGCCCCGGCAGCAGCCAGCGCGACGAGCACGGACGAGATCACACTAGACTCCGACGCCGAACCCGATACCACCAAAGCGGAGGAGCCGCACCCCGCCGCCGCCGCAGCGGACAATAACGACGACGACGAAGAAGGCGGCGCAAGCCTCTACTCAGACCCCACCGTCGCGCCCGCGCTGGCCCACGCGCAGTCGCTGATCGACGAGCTGACCGTCCGCGGCGGCGTCGGCAGCGCCGCCTCGCAAGCGCAGCAAGGCGGTGCCGGTGCCGGTGACGGTGACGCGCTGCCCTCGGGCGCGAGCTTGCCCATGAGACCGGAGGCGTCGTGGGGGCGGGAGATGGGCGCCGCGCCGACGAGCATGCCGGGCCGGAACCAGGGCGATGCGCCGCACGAAGGACGGGGCGGACGCGGTGGCGCGAGGAACAACCGCCACCACCACCAGCAGAGGGACGACGGGAAGCCGTGGTGGGAGGGATACTACGACCACAAGTCCAACGAGAACCCGTGGGCGAAGCTTGAGAAGGCGGCTGGGGTTGAGCCGAGGGGGAGCTGGGCTTTGGAGGGACAGGCGCAGACTGCCTAGGACTTTCCTTCGAGCAACTATCGACATGAGGGAGGGTTGTATGGGTCAAGAGAGCGACGGACAAGGTTGTCAGCTACGTATCGACCTAGAATTGATACATAGCCCCTCCTTTGTTCACCCGTCTCTTGGCCATGCCAGCGTCACCTTCACCGGACCCAGACCGACATCACGTGATATCAACATCCCTGATCGGACAGGGATAGACATCACAGGGCGTGGAAGGACTTTACGGTTCATCACATGATCCACCACTGGGTCTCGGAGACAAGGCCATCGTCGCGGGAGTCGTTACGGTGGCATTACGGCATCGATGGAGCTGGACGGCACCGCTACGGGGGGAGCAGTATACGGACCAGCGACCCCCCGTCCGCTGGCCCCTCAACCGAATAAGAAGGAGGCATACGATGTTACTATGGAAAAGACCTATCGTCACTAGAGAACCGCCCGGGGTGCTACAGGAAACGCCAGCCCGCAAAAGAGATCCATCACCCTCTCCCTCGCTGCCTCCCCTTCCCGAAAGAGCAATATCCCACCGCCCCGAAAAGGACAAGCGCCTCCCTTACAGACACCGCATTTTTCACCTCCCTCCCCTCGTCTCCGTCTCCGTTGTCTCCTCCCCAGGCCACAGGTCTCCACCGAACCAATCTCTCGGCTCTGAGGGCCTACTGCAGGCCACCCTGGGCGCTTACCCTGGGTCCCCAGGAAAGAAGAGGGGGAGGTGTGCTTTTAAACTACAAAGACCGCCCAAAATCATACCCATTTCATCCAATCATATCTCATCATAGTTCCATGGAACAAAGTCTCCCCAAACAAGGTCCTGAAGAGCAGAGGAAATCCAACAGCCCGGGAAAGCTCACGAGGTTCGGCGAGAACGACGGGAGTGTGTGTGTGGAGGACGGATTAGTGGAGGGTCTACCACGCGGGCGGAATCCCTCCCCCCATCCATCTCCACGGCTCACACATTTACCTCGCTGCCGCCCTCCGCGAAGCTCGCAAAAGCAGCGTGAGATGGGCCGCTAGCAGGCCCCATGTTCGCCCCGCGCCGTGCCGCTGCGCGTCAACCGCGATCCCGACTGTCAGGCTCGCCTAAGAAGCTGGCCACCCGCCCCCCTGTCTCTGCTTCTCGCCGCCCCTCACCTCCTTGACAGCCCAATATGTACCCAAGAAAAATAAACAAACAAGGTGGAGGAGGCGTGCGCTGATCAATCGTCGAGCAAAAAATAGAGATGCAAAGTAAATCCGGGGATTTTTGGTATCTTGGTTCCTGCAGTTTCTGTGCAGGCAGGGATGTGTGTATGTCGTGCGTCGATTTTTGGTGTGGCGGGAGTAAAGGAGGTTGCTTTTGAAAATGACACGCTAGAAAAGACCGACACCCAAAGGTAAGGCTGAAAGAAACGCTTTTGTCGCCTGCTCGTCTCTGCTTCTTCAACGTCCGCGATGTCGCGCGGCTGAGGAAGAGACGAGTGAGCGCATTCGCAAGGTACGTCTAGTACTCGGGCGAAGGGTAGCGAGCGCGCGCCTTGTTGTACTCCTTGGTGTGCTTGCGGGAAGTCTTGCTCTTCAGCGATCTGCGCAGAGGTGTTAGCCCGGTTTTCTGTCTTGTCTCAGATCTCGCAGCCGCCGCCGCCGGTTTTCTGTCGAACAAGCTTGCTTCTTCCGAAGCCACCGAAACCCGCTTTTCCCGTGCCTCCATTTTCCCCGCCAGTTCGCGGGGAGAAGAGGGGAGTTGCGAGATTGCCGGTAGATCGTCAATCTTGACCATCGTTTTCTGCCGCTTGCTTGGTTTTTTTTTGTTTCGAGGTCTCGGATCCCGCATTCGGAGACCGGAAGAAAAAAAAAATGATCCAAACTTACGAGACTTTCTTCTGCGTCCACTCGAGGTCCGCGCGCACGTCCTGAGCGTCACGGTAGCCCTCGTTGAAGCGCTCGCGCGTCTTTGCGAGACGGGCCTGCGCCTTCTTCTGGAGTTCCAGCAGCTCACGGTGCTTTGCGTTGAGCTTGCCGGATCTATTTTTTGCGTTTTCCGGTCAGCCAAATGTTTTCTCTCTGCTTGCGCTTGTCTTTTCCGGACTGCTGCAGCGATCGGCCCCCGCGGCTTATGCAGGCACCGGCCGCCGGAACACCGCTCGGGGATTTTTGTGTAGTTCTCAATGGGGTACTCACGTTTGCGCCTGGACCGCAATGTTGCGATCCAGAGGGATGGGGTCAAAGGTCTGGGCGAAGCGGTCCTGCATGTAGTCGTTGAAGTCGACTCCGCTGGCCGAGTGGTGGCTGTCAAAGTCGCCGCTGTTGCTGCCGGCGTAGCTGGAGTTGGCAACCGAGTAGCCGCCAGAGTATCCGCTGTTGCTGTATGAGGCTCCGGTTCCTGAGCTGACGGACTCGTCCGTCTCTGGGGGCGAGACCGAGTAGGTGCTGCTGTAGCTTGGGTATTGTTGGCCCTTGTGGTTGGGGACGGGCATGGGGATGGCGTAGGAGTTGTAGTGGGCAGACATGATGGGCGATGGATATCCGGGTAGTCGACGAAGACGGTTAAGAACTTGTGACGTGTTGCCTGTGTGCGATGTGGGAACTTGTTTGAAGCAAACAAGGGATGACTAAAGTTCGTTGTGTTGTGAACTGGGGATGGCTGGCCACTTGGTATGACGGGGCGCAAGGAAGGTGCTTGCTTGGATGAAGCTTGATGAAGAACGACTTGGAGAAGTTGGGCAGAAGCTTGATGATGAGATAGTCCGAGATGGTGATGAGAAAGGAAGAAGAAGAATACAGATTCCAACCGCTCAAGTTGTGCCCTTTTATACTTTTTCCGAGACCCATTCCGGACTCCATCTCTTCTTCTTGCTCGGGGGAGGGGATAAGACATCAAGCCTCGATTCGTCCGATTGCAAGCCATGGCTTCATGACTGAACCCCGCCCGAGGGAGGGAACGGACGGAATGGTCCCTGGGCATGATGTGATGGGATGGTGAGAATGGCCGCAGACACACGCAACGACATGGACGGACGTCGGCCATGAGCATGAGCAGCAACAGCAACAGCCGGCCGACCTGTCTGGACCTGGGCTAGCCTGTGCGTTAGTGACAGGGAAGAGAAAGAGGCTAAACCCTGTCTTCACCCGCTTGCCGCTTGCTTCCATGGCTGTCGCTCGCGGGGTGGGCAGTGATAGTCAAAGACGAAGGCAACGGAGTGGTTGTCTCGAGGGTGTGGATAATGGGGACGTTGAGGGGCATGTGGAAGGGTGATGGACAGAGCCATTGGCCAAGGAGAAGACAGGGAAAACAGATTGCTACATCTGCAAGCCGAGTGTCCATTTCCCTCACAGAATAGAAAAAAACTCAATAGGAATAGCTCAGTATCGAAGGCAAATAAAACAACCGAGCAAGGTGTCTGCATATGCCGAGGGGCGACTATCATGGGTCGTATTGGTGGAGATGGACCACGATGGAGGATGGGTGGCCCAGATGAGGCAATGGATCTGTTTGGGCTTGAGAAAGATGACAACCGGGGCCAGGGAAGGGAAAAAAAAGAGAAACAAAAGAGGCGCGTGGAAACTGGCACGGACTAGCCGGTGCAGACCGGCGAAGAGCAGCGAGACAGATGCGGGTTGGAAAGCCATGTAAGGCATGTCGTGTAAAACGGCGACGGAGGGCTCTGCAGATAGACAGAGACACAATTTTTCTTAATTTTTTTGATGGACCGCCGGGCAAGACAGGGCAGGGGAGGTACATCTCGACAGGTATCACGCCGAACTACTTTAACCAGCTAAGGTAAGGCAAGGCAAGGAGAGGGTGGATGCACCTGCAAGCCAGGGGCATGGGGCTCTGTGGGCAGGGACGGGGACGGGGACGGCGGCCGTGGGCCATGGACCATGGCGTGAAGGGTTCCTTTCCCTGGGACCTCTTTCCGCCCACGCCCGTGCGGTGTCAAGATGGGAAGAGGTTGCTTTAGCTTGGGATGAGGGAGGTGGTGTTGAAGTGTGAGGCGTGGATCTAAGACATTTGGAGGGGGGAAGGTGAAGGCTTCGGAAGCAAGGCAAACGGAAGGTCGTCGAGGGCTTCCGGGTCGAACGATGACGGCCTTCCGGGGCCACGCCATGAGCCGTGGATGGGAGTATGACGGAGGCCGTGCGGGTCGAACGTTTCCATCGACCCAGTTAGACGCAAGCCGACGGGGGCCATGGAAGGTATTCCTACCGGGGAGGGGTGCGTTCTGATTCGTGACGGATGGAGAGAGGGCGAGGAGGAAATGGAATACTGTGGGCGAGGAATGTGGGTTGCAAAGAGAATGAGAGAGAGAGAGAGCGAGCAAGCAAGCAAGCAAGCAACCTCGGGCCTGGGGAGGTACAAGGCGGAAACGTCAGGATAGAGTCAAACAGAGCCAGGACCAACGGGGAAGGTATGGCCCGGCGTTGATCGAAACTATGGCCCAACGAGAGAGGAGGCCACGAGGGCGGAGGATGGGCCGGGATGGAAGAGGACAGGACAGGATAAGGTAGAGTAGGGCAGGGCAGGGCGGGTTGGATCAGGACAGAAGTCGAGAAAAGAACGGCTTGGGATGGGAATGTAACGGGGGCAGCTCAGTGAGGTCCAGGGTGTGTGTGTGCGCCCATGTGTGCCTGTCTGTTCTCTCCGTTTCCTTCGTTCGCAATTGCGAACGAACCTGGCGTTCCTGGCATGTATTTTCCAACGTGGCCGCCATATCTTTTCTGTCTGCGTGCTTCGACGGTACGACCAGGTACAGAGAGAGGACGAGAGGTCAGAACAAACAAGGTAACAGAACCAGGTCAATGTTCAAGCAATGCCAAGAAAAAAGTACCTTTTGACGGCTTCAATTCCATTTGTAAAAGCAGCGTGGGATTTCCACTCCCACCCGGCTCGTGTCGTCGTCTCGTTGGACTGCAACAGAAACCACCTTGGAAGAATCGGGAATGCGGGAAAAATGATGGGGGGCCCCCTTGTATGTACGCTGATCGGACCTTGGGAAACCTGACTTTTGGCGAAGCCA